ATAATAGCTATAGTCTCATATCCCTCCACTATTAGCTCCTTGAGTAGTCTAGAATGCATTTAATCAGGCCCTGGTGACTTGCAGGCATCTAACTTTTCTAAGTGATTTTTATTTTATCTGCTAAACCTACCCCCTTCCCATTAGCATTCACTATGTTAGGGATTCCTTCAGACTTCTCGGTGAAGACCGAAACAAAGAAGTCATTAAGCATCTCTGCCATTTTCAAGTTTCCTGTTACTGTTTCTCCCTCTTCACTAAGCAGTGGGCCTACCCTGTCTTTGGTCTTCCTCTTGCTTCTAATGTATTGATAAAAAGTCTTCTTGTTTCCCTTTATTCCTGTAGCTAGTTTGAGCTCATTTTGTACCTTTGCCTTTCTAATCTTGCCCCTGCATTCCTGTGTTGTTTACCTATATTCAACCTTTGTAATCTGTCCTAGTTTCCATTTTTTATATGACTCCTTTTTATTTTTTAGATCATGCAAGATCTCGTGGTTAAGCCAAGGTTGTCTTTTGCCACATTTTCTATCTTTCCTAACCAGTGGAAGAGCTTGCTTTTGGATCCTTAATAGTGTCCCTTTGAAAAACTGCCAACTCTCCTCAGTTGTTTTTCCCCTCAGTCTTGATTCCATGGGACCTTTCCTATCAGCTCTCTGAGCTTACCAAAATCTGTCTTCCTGAAATCCATTGTCTCTATTTTGCTGCTCTCCCTTCTATCCTTCCTTAGAATTTCAAACTCTGTGATTTCATGATCACTTTCGCCCAAGCTGCCTTCTACTTTCAATTTTTTCTATTTTCAAAGGTTATAGGTTGTGCCTTAAGCATTTGGCATCAGGCAGTGTTTCCTGATTCCTAACTAATTAAGCTATTGTTCATGATCAGCCCAGGCTGAAATTGTATGGCTGAAGGCTGAGCCCAAGGGAGGTTAGTAGAAGAGGGGAATGTGAAAGAGAAATGGTGAAACAATTTTATTTTATTGTATTTTATTGTATTTGTTCTTTGTCTCTCTCTATTTGTTTGTCCTGCCTTTTAGATTGTAAGCTTTTTGGAGTAGGGGTGGTCTTCTATGCTATGATTGTGCAGTGCCTAGCTGGGACCTTAATGTTCTACCAGAAGACACAATAAATAATAACCATAATTTCTAATTTCAAACGTTACTTCCTTGTTTCTGAGAATTTGGGGTGGGATTTTCTAAAGGCCTCAAGCTTGACTCACTGGAAAACAAGAATTCCATTTTGTGGATGAAAAAAAGGTTTCAAACTTTAAGAACATGAGACCTTTCAAAAATGTTGGAAATAAAAAACAGGAGAGCAAGAGTCCTCCCCACAACATCCAGATGGTTTCAGTAGTCACCTGGTCATGGAAGAATCACATTTAAGTCCCAGCTCTGCTTGATTTGTAGGATGGACTCAGAATTATGCAAGTGCCCAAACTAACTATCTATAGAGTCAGTCTTTTCCATTTGTTCTCACTTTTATCAGTAATTGGATTCTGGACCAGATAAAATTTTTGTGATTTATGAGCCTAAGCAGGGCCGGCTCTAGGATTTTTGCCGCCCCAAGCAAAAACAATTTTGGCCGCCCCCCCCCCCCGTTTTTTCTTACCCCACCCCCGGCCCTGCCTCAACTCCGTCCCTTCCCCCGCCAGAGCCAGCCGCTTTAGGTCTGTCCAGGGCTGCTCCTGGATACGGTGCGCTGAGGCTCCGGGAGAGGGGCGGAGGTGGGGTCGGGTCAGGCCTGTGGAGGGAGCCTCAGCCATTCTCGTGGGGTCCCCTGCAGAGCCCGGGGCCTGGGGCAAATTGCCCCACTACCCCCCCCACTCCCAGGTGGCCCTGCTGTATTCATCCATGCAATGCTCCCCTTAAGGGAATGAGATAATTACTGCCAACCCCACACCTTCAAATATCACGAGTCATGCCTCAAAAAATCCTGAAATTTGCTGAAAAATCATTAGATTAAATAAAAATTGGGAAGCCATTTTATTTGTCCTCTGGTTTCTGAGGCTTTTTTTTACACTTGGTTCGGGTTTTAAACCTTTTCTCTGCATCTATCAGGGCTATACACTTTGGGCCAAATTTTTAAAGGTGTTTAGGTGTCTCATGGGATTTTGAAAAGCATCTATACTCCCATCTCCATCGATGGGATCTGGTTGCCTGGGTGCTTTTGAAAATCCCAGTAGGCATCTAAACACCTTTCAAAATCTAGCCTTTAATTCAAGAAAGAAAGAAAGAAAGAAAGAAAGAAAGAAAGAAAGAAAGAAAGAAAGAAAGAAAGAAAGAAACCTGTGCATATCACTTAATCACATGATTTCTGCAGCTGGGACTATTAAGGAAAATTCTCAATATTGTAGGGCTCACGATAACACCTCAAAAGTTGGCAACGTTTGCCAGAAGCTGGGAATGGGTGACAGAGGGTGGATCACTTGATGAATACCTGTTCTGTCCATTCCCTCTGAGGAACCTGGCATTGGCCACTGTTGGCAGACAGGATACTGGGCTAGATGAACCATTTGTCTGACCCAATCTGGCCGTTCTTATGTTCTAACATTGTGGCAGTGCACTGGGCACAAATATGACTCAGACTTGAGGCTGGAAATAGCTGTCCTTGCTAAGAAACAGCTGGAGTGTAAAGTTCTGTATCATTCCTGTCACCTAGCAAGCACGTTCTGCACCATTTAAATTTCATTGCAGGCTGGTGCCTAAGAATTACCAGCATGTCTTGGCCTTGGTGTTTGCCATTAATAAGATCAACCAGGATCCTGCGCTGTTACCCAACATCATGCTGGGGTTCCGCATCTACGAGAGCTTTTTCAGTCCCAGGAAGACCTATGAGAGCTCTTTTACCCTGCTCTCCACCAGGTACCTAATGATCCCGAATTACAGCTGCGACACCCAGGACAAGTTGTCAGCTGTCATCGGGGGGCTCGGGTCTGAAACATCCATCCAGATGGCAACCATCTTAGGCATCTACAATATCCCACAGGTAAGAAGTGGGGGAGGTATAGAAGGGTTTTACAGCTCAGTGAGACAGGGGCAAAGTCCCCACTGGTGTAACTTTATTAACCTCAGAGGAATGGCATCAGGGACAGAGATGGGGAACAGGAAGACACATCTGTCATGGATTTACAGGGACTTCAGTGCCCCAGATTCTACACAAGCCCTAGGCATAGTTTTGCGCAAAGGTAAGCCCTACAGTTCCACAACTCCAAGGCTGGACCTCCGGGCTCCAGGACCCTTTTTCTCTCTGTGGCTTTCCAGTGAATCCAAATGAGTTCGGACTCCTGTTAGAGACATCTACCCCTTCAGGAAGCAATGCAAACAGTACTATGTGCAGTGACCCAGGACAGCCTTTTCATAAAAAGCCAGCATTTATTAATCCATTGGAACACAGGCTTTGAGAGTCCTTAAATCAGCATGGAAAAACCAAGCTTGCCTGAATTTATATTGGCAGAAGCAATTGCCCCAATTTTCCATACTTTACTGGAGTCCATCTTAATATCTGGCTCTCTCTGATCCTGTGGCACCCTGCCCTGGGCAGCAGCAAAACTTAACAACCAATGTCTTCACATCCGGTTCATTTGTCTCCAGATCCAGCCATGATGTGTCCCTATACTCAGAATGCCTTGGCTTTCAGTGATTTAAAATTAATATTTAGTCATTCGGTCTTCTGCTGTCTCTCAAGGGTACTCCATTCATCTGTGCTGATTACAACCAGAAGGACATATATCACATCCCCAAGTGCCTCAGTCAGGGGAAAAATTAACCCTGAGTGGGCAGCAATATAGTGTGGGTGGGTAAACTGACTCATGCATATTGTTCATGAAAGTATTAAAAATAAATCTCACATTCTCCATAATGTCCCGCTTGCTATTTAGCTTCTGTGAACTCCCTTTTCAAGGCAGCTGCAGGACTCACATCAGGTCCCATTACTACAGCTTTCCTTATGCGGCTGCATCTCTAGCCAAGGGTGAAACTGGCCCTGATGTTGAAAAAAATCAGCTGGAAATTTTCTGTTGAAATGTTTTTTTGTTTGCTTAGTTTGGTGGTTTTGTACAGAAAACCGGGGTTGAGTTAAAAGAAAACTTTCAAAGAAAGTGTATACTTTCCTTGAAAATATTCAAGTTTTCATTAGGAACACAGAAACCTGGAAACAAAATATATGGGGTTTCTGGCTGAATTGTTTGTTTTTGGCTGAAATTTTCAGGATTTGGTTACTAAAAATGTTGAGTTTTAGATAGTCAAGAAAAAAACCTGTCATTTGCATAGAATTTTTCTACTGAGAGAAGAAAACATTTTCTAACAACTCTAGATTTTGCCCAAATCTACAAATCAACATATTTTCTCTTTTAAATCAGCTATGGCTCATTCCATGCCATGCTGAGTGATAAATTCCAGTTCCCTTCTGTCTACCTGATGGTCCCAAATGAGATACCTCAGTCGCTGGGACTGGTTCGGTTAATGCAACATTTCAAATGGACCTGGACTGGCCTCATCACCTTGGATGATGATAGTGGAGAAAAGTTTGTGCAGACTTTGAAGCCAATGCTTACTAGGAACAGCATCTGTGTTGCCTTCACCAAATAGGCCCCTCATGTGCCTTCCTCTTCGATGGACTACATATTTAGGGAGCAACATTTTAAGCCATATTCCAGTATCACCCAGACAAAGGCTGAGGTGATTGTTGTCTACGGTGACACAGACTCCCTATTAGGTTTAAAATTGTTTTTATATGCAAGCTATCAAACAGCACTGACACCTATAGGGAAGGTTTGGATCACGACAGCTCAGTGGGATTTCACATCGAATATTGCTTTGAATAGGTGGACTTTAAAGCCCTTCCACGGTGCCTTGTCCTTCTCAGTACATACAGAGGATGTGCCAGGATTCCGAGATTTCCTCCGGACCCTCAACCCTTACCAACTCCAAGGAGATATTTTTATTCAGTGTTTTTGGCACACTGTATTTAATTGTTCTGTTCTATATAGTAGCTTGACAATAAAGGGTGGGAGAAATTGCTCAGGGAAGGAGGATCTGGAAAGCCTGCCGGGTTCTGATTTTGAAATGAAAATGTCAGGCCAGAGCTACAGTACCTACAATGGTGTCTACGCTGTGGCACATGCTCTACATGCCCTAAACTCATCCAAATCCAAAAAGGAAGCCACGGGGAAAGGACATCTGCTGGAGCTTCAGAACATCCAGCCATGGGAGGTAATGTCTCTACTTACGGAAGCACCAATAAGAGCTTCAGAATTAACGTTGCACCAAGATTTTCTATTTAATGTGTGTCAAAATGTTCAGTAGGACTTTCTCACATGTATAATAATAATGATAATTAATAATTTTATCACAAACACTGGGGAGAAACTATTATAAGTGGGAGTTGAATGCAGCTGAATAACTTATATTTTTAAGCAAATATTTATGATGATTTATTTGCGGAAGTGCTCACTGTGTGCTGGAAGCTTCCCAAACTTTTAAGAAATCATTCTGAATGTTCTCTGTGCATTGCTTCTCAATTCAGTTCTTAGGGCTAGATTTTTATAGGTATTTAGGTGTCTACAGGATTTTTCAAAAGTAAGTAGGTGCCTTTTACCAGCACTGATGTGCCACTCCATGTGAGGCACTTAAATGATTTTGAAAATTCCACTAGGCACCTAAATACTTTTTAAAATCTGGCCCTAAGTACATAATAATAGGGTAATCAAAATTTTTCATTTGCAATTATTTTCAGCCTAAAATTGTTGTTTTTGACTGAATAACATTTTTTGTGCAAAGTGCCAGTTTTTGTCAAAAATTTCCCTTATTTTGTTGGAAAATCAAAAATTCCATAATTGAAAAATGTCAACCAAAACACCAGGAAAAAATCAAATCAGTTTTTGGCAGTTTTGAATGGAATATGTTCAGTTTTAAGTGATTGCACTGGTCTACAGTTTTTGAGAATTCGTCTGCTTCAGAGATAAAATGTGCTATTTATTATGTATTTTGATGTGCTGAATTCAAATATGACAATTAAAACAACTGATTAGCTACTAAGTATCAGAGGGGTAGCCGTGTTAGTCTGAATCTGTAAAAAGCAACAGAGGGTCCTGTGGCAGCTTTAAGACTAACAGAAATATTGGGAGCATAAGCTTTCGTGGGTAAGAACCTCACTTCTTCAGATGCAAGATGCAAGTCTTGCATCTGAAGAAGTGAGGTTCTTATCCACGAAAGCTTATGCTCCCAATACTTCTGTTAGTCTTAAAGGTGCCACAGGACCCTCTGTTCCTGATTAGCTACTGTTTCTAAGATATTTAAGTTTTTACATTTTATGTCTATGTATATTATGTAGATAGTAGAGTTTTAATCATAAATTGTAAACCTAGGTCTTTTCATGTGTTTATGGTTGTTTTACATGATAATATTTCACCTGTCCTGTTTATGTAACACTTTAAAAATCAGCAAAAGGGTTATATAAATAAAATGTATTATGAAACAAAAGGCAAAAAACTATTATGTACATAGTTTAGTCCTATTCAGTGTCTACTCGGTGTTTCTTGGCTTGTCTCTTGTATTCATTAAATGGAGCATCTCTTGTCACTGTCCAGCAATAGTCTGCAAGCATTGATGGGCTCCATTTGCCCTGATAGTGTTTCTCCATTGTTGCAATGTCCTGGTGAAATTGCTCGCCGTGCTCGTCGCTCACTGCTCCGCAGTTCGATGGAAAAAAATCTAGATGAGAGTGCAAAAAATGTATCTTTAGTGACATGTTGCAACCAAGGCTTTTGTATGCCTTGAGGAGGTTTTCCACCAACAACCTGGAGTTGTCTGCCTTGTTGTTTCCGAGAAAATTTATTTAAACTGCAGCAAGGGAGGTCTAGGTTGGACATTAGGAAATAGTTCCTAACTGTCAGGGTGGTTAAACACTGGAATAAATTGCCTAGGGAGGTTGTGGAATCTCCATCTCTGGAGATATTTAAGAATAGGTTAGATAAATGTCTATCAGGGATGGTCTAGACAGTATTTGGTCCTGCCAAGTAGGCAGGGGACTGGATTCAATGACCTCTTGAGGTCCCTTCCAGTCCTAGAATCTATGAATCTATGAATAACCCACCCTACTACTCTGTTATGTCTGTCACATTGTACAAAGAACATTGCTCCCTGAACTGAAACAACCATCAGTTTGTAGAAGAAAGACTCAATGATTGGTAGTTATTGCAGCCTAGTATATTCAAACAGGCAAGAGGCAGTCCATGCAATAGCAGCTAGATGGCTAATTATTTTACGCTTCTTTGAAAACCCAAGCTGCAATGTCCATCCTGTCCATTTTAATTTGAATGTATTCTTGCACAGATAACAATATTTACCACTTGTATATCTGTTTAATCCACAAAGCAATGTACAAAGAATGGCTATTAATCCACACAACATGCCGACACAGTAGAAGCTGATTTAAGGAACTTTATAGTGAAAGGTTGACTAGGTCAGTCCGATTGTTCCCATTTTGCAGGTGGGGAAACTGAAGTAGGGATGTGTTTAGAGGACAGAGACAGCTGAGGATAAAACACAAGAGTTGAAATTCCCATTTCTATGCCCCGTGAACAGACAGGAAATTGATCGATCTATCTATCTATCTATCTATCTATCTATCTATCTATCTATCTATCTTTTTTTTTCAAATTTGCCTCAATAAACTAACTGTAGCAGTAAAATCCGCAGGCTAATTTATAAGAGCTACTTGAGAATTTTCCATCAACACATTTTCTCAATAGACATTGTCTTTTTGATTAAACGGATATTTTTTGCAAATAAACAAATAA